TTCCGATCTCCCCAAAACCCCAAAACCCCTCTAGCAATGGATAAAGCAGCAATAGAACTATTAAAGAAATTAAATTAATTATTAAATGTCATCTATCAGTGGTTTCAATTAACCTAAGTAAGAGACTATATATAACAACCTTGTTTACAAAGTGCTAGAATTGCTTTGTGATCATATCGTCTGCCACAAATAAAACTGTAACAATAAGATTCAATTAAAGATTTTTCAAGATTTTATCGATGAAAAATTATGGGCTAAAAAAATCACTAAGCTTAATAAAATAATGATTCACCTTGAATAACTAAAGACAAGTGATCCTTATTTTTCGAAAGCAATATCAAAAGTCATCAACTATTTTACTAATATATATAATGTATACCCTCCTTTATGATTCATACTTATTAGAACAATGGATAACTCTCGGAAGCAACTACTACTACTCTGAATTTTGGAGAGTAAGAATATTAATTAATTATTGCAATATTTATAATCACATGTCTATAGTGACTTATCAATGAACAACTCTATAATAACAGTTAAAAGCCCTAAAGCTGTGAGTTTTAAACAAAATATCTAGAATCTAAACAACTCTTAGATCCCATCTTAGAGAAACTCTCATCTTTTAGATTAAAAGACTAATAATAAAAGCTCAAAGTGAGATGAGAAAAATTTCTCTCAGTAATATGTTATTTCTGAGAAATTCAAGGAAGAATCAAAGCATAAACAACTAAGCAAGGCACCAGATTCATAAGTACTATTTGAAAGCCATAGTCTATATCACCCTAATAATGAGTAAAATTCTATAAGCTAGAATATTTATCATTCAGCTGATAAGCACGATATTAGATCGTTAAGCAATAAAAGCAAATCAAATCTTGGTCATCAGATTATTATTGCAGGAGACGATAATCTTATCTAAAAGTAAAACTATTCTAAAAAGCTTATTGAAAAGATCTAATCCTCCAGAAAAAATATATAAAATTCTTAGTAGGTTTAGCTTCAATAGCAGCAATAGCTAGCAGTCTAAAACTAGAAAGGCTAGATATAGATAAACTTTAATGACATTTTTATAAATTACTAAGTATAGTAAAAACTGCAACCTCAATCCAGCATTAGTTAAAGTAAAGGTAGTTCTGCTGTAGACTAATCAATAATTAGTAATAATAATTACAAGAATAGGTCAATATAACATCATCAATTTTAAACTTTGCCTATTAATAGAAGCTCGCCTCTTGGCAAGTATATTAAGACAGATGGCAGGAGAGCATTAAATAAACAGACTGTTGAATATTAACAAGATTTAAAAAGACATTTACCAGAAAATGTTACAAAGATTAGTGAAAGATAAGATGAGGAATCTCCGTTAAGAGGTACTACTAGCAGATAGATAGTAACTTAGACAGGTAGAGAAAGCAGACCCAAGTTTATCAGGAGTTCTGGCAGCCAGACGAATCACAGCTTTGAAGTTAGATCAAATCAAAGAATGAATTCATCTTCAATTAAATAAAGACTGAACACATCATAAAATGTCACAAGAAAGCCCATACACCCAAAGACATCTGTATTTATGCAGTCAAATCCTTACCAGTCAATTTAAAATCAAATATCTAAGGGAAGAAAATTGATTCTGAATATGCATTAGAATTATGATCACATTGAATAGCTAAAGGCACTAGAGAACATTATTTCAAAAATAAAGGATTGATAGTAATCCAATTAGCCAATACTAATCAAACAAATATTCTCTTATTTTTTATTTCATTAATACCTTATTATAATATATTAGTTCAGGAATATTTGTTAAAATATATAAAAATAATCATTATTTCTCATTGATTAATCATGTTTTTAACTCTCAAATCAA